TATCTATCGGAAAGTGTTATTTATTTAAAAAATGCAAAAATTTATGTAAAAACAAACCTTTATTATAACACAATCCGAATGATTAAAAATTAAATGCATGCAAACATTTTTTTCTGAATTATATTTTTTATTATTTAATTGCTTCATTATTTTGTTATTTCTCTCTTGCATCACTTAATAAAATTGACAATTATTAAACACGTGATTTCGTATTTGTGTGTTTAATCAGAGGCAGAAAGTATAGGCTCTAAATATATTAAGTCTAGAAAGCTGAAATTTGGAACATACGAGGTGTGGCAGAAAAGTAATGAGACTGATTTTTTACTTTACAAACATCAATGTTATGCCCTTCAAAGTAGTTCCCTTGGGCAGCTACACACTGATGGAGACGTTGTTCCCACTGTTCGTAGCAGCGCTGGAAGTCTTCAACCGTTATGGTTTTCAGTATGTCCGTTACGGTATTTTGGATAATTCTAAAGTCCCGAAATGACGGCCTTTGAGGACATTTTTTAGTTTAGGAAAAAGGAAGAAGTCACAGGGACTGAGGTCAGAGGAATAAGGGGGGTGGGGAACCACTGAGGACACTACACATTCTGCTGACATAAGTTGGATAATTTAGAGTAACAACTCCTTTTGTATCATTTGCTCACATTAAAGACACACGTCTAACACATCCATAGAGGGAAACTGTGCGGACTTTTTCATTTTTTTTTATCGCTGAACAAAAATATATTTATGTATTTCTGGTCTGCGTACAAATAAGCCTTTTTTTAAGAGAATATAATGTATACAATATAGCCGTCAATATATTATGTTACAATATATTTTGTAAATCCCGATAGCGGTGGTTTGGTAATTATAACATCATGTTCAGTATCGTCTATCACACTGTCGTAACTTTCTGATAAGCCAAGAGCTCTATAGCCTCTTAAAGATTTGTTGATTTGATGAACAAGACATTTTAAAATTCTAAGCTGTTCTAGAGGAATACAATTTTCACGAAAACTTCACTTCGCCATGTACCTACTAATATTTTTTGTAAGCTACAGACTTATTTTCAAACATAGGAGAACTCATTTCTCTCAATATTTTCATGAGAAATGTCATACTTCAACGTGAAAACAGTATTTTTTAAGCCAATGAGAATTCAAATTCTTGGTAGAATTTTAATTATCTCAAAATAAACAAAGAGAAACAGTCAGTGAGTGCTCCACTAGCTTTAAAAATATTGCATGCCATTTCTCATGAAAATCTTGTGAGAAATCGCTATCTCTTGAGTTTGAAAATAGCCCCCCAGAAATTGCCGGGCGGTGGGGTTATTGTTGTGGCCTCAATGTAAGCGAATACAATCAAAGAACAGCTCTAAGCGGTCTTGAGATTTTGGCACATTGATAAAAGCTACAAATGTCAGTCGGTGTTTAAAAACACACCTACGTGTGTTTTTAAGGCACTTAGGGCCGATTCCTCCGTTATGAGTTTACGAAGTTAACGAAGTTTAAATTTCTAAGTAAAAATGTCATTTTAATCTTTGTTTAGTAATTTGAACTTCGTTTAACACAACGGTGAAATCGGCCTAATATACTTATCCATTTTTATACCTGCATAAGATAAGACAGAGGCTTTTTGTAATGAAATTGAAGCAAATTTCTAGAATTTAGGAAATCAAAGAGATTATTTATCATTCTTTTGCACCAGCTTCAGCAAATTTTCTCATTTTTAATTCATCTTTACAAAACCTAATGCGATTACAACACTTTCACTCAAAGCATAATAATTAAAATTTTAATTTCTCAAATACGACCCTGACATTGTTTACTATGTTGTATATTTAGTTGTGGAATGTTATTTCAGATAATTTCTTTATATAAATATCTATTAGGTTGCTAAAAATACGTTGAGCACAAGCAACCAATGTTTAACTTTTAAAATGTACAATATATTTAGTTTGCAAACGACATAAAAATAGTATAAACGTTTATTGACCACGATTATCTGTTTGAAGGATTCGTGAACATAATATGACGGAAGTGAACCCGTCTTGGACCACGTGACAGCGTCTCCCTACCTTCTACCTCCAAGAGAAATCTCCATAGCTGGAATCAAAAAATCTAGCCTCCATTTGTTTAAAAATCTCGCCTGTCCAAAATAATATTGTACTAAGTATGAAGACTAGAGATAAGGAGACGAATCGGCATACTCAAAATACGGTCCCAATTTTTTTTTTTATTTGGTGTCATCGGAATTAACGGTTAAGGTTATTAGCCTCGTGTTCTTTGTAGGCTTTGTTACTGTTTCCCAGTGCCACTTTAGGAACAGCACTGTTAATTAGAACCCAACAGTAAATGGTCGAGTGGGGAATCCTACCAAGGCATCAGAATTAATTTTAAATAATTTAAATTAAATAAAAAATCCCGGCCAACGGTGGGATTCGAACCTGGGACCCATGGATCCACAGGTAGAGACTCTACCACTGAGCCACCCACCCCCCACTCTTATGGAAATTATACATAATTTTGTCAAAATAATAAAAATAAACTTGTTTACAGCTAAATAAAGCACAGAACATACTGTTGTATTATTTCTAAATAAGTCTTGCATATTTTAATTGATAAACTATTTAATTTTATCTATATAAAATACAAATTAGGTACGTATGACCAAATTCGAAAAGGTTTCTTAATTGCTGAAATTTGTTAAGTACAATTTTGTGGCAAATTTTTTTTTTTGAATTGAACCAATATATAGTTTTAAGAGTAAGATAAAACACAGTTAACAGATTTTTTATTGTTGTAATACAAGTATAAAGGCAGATTTGGGAATGTACATGATATTACCTCATCCTTTAATTTCAACTTTCCCCTTTTTATTTTGCTAACAGTACCATCAAAAAAAATAGTCTCATAATATTTGATAATATTTTCTAAAGTATAGAACATCATCATCTCTAGAAAGTGCTTTATCGGCACTAGGAACGATATATATGCTGCCACTGTTCTCAACGTTTAGTATCCTATAAAAAACATTTACAATGACACAATTGGGGTCCAAAAAAAAATAACAGTAGCAACTCTTTATCTAACATTAAAACTCTATAAAAAATAAATTTTCTTTTCCAGTAAGTTAAATTTAATGCATAATTATTGTTGTTTGTAAGTCAGCATCTATAACTGTAAAATTTTATATTATAGAAACTTCGTAAGATACATATTGTGACTAGTTTACAATAATTATTATATTTAGACATGAATACATTATTTTACTTACATTAAAAGCTTTAAAAAGACATTGAATTGATTTCTTCTTGTGTTTTCTTTAGTTTTATATTTGATTTTTATCCTGTTTTACAATCTGAAACGACGTAAATCTGGCTTTGATGTTTTTTGTCACTCATTTTACTTGTACTCAGGTACTTTTTTTCACATTATTTTGATTCTTTTCATCAATTTTTTAAAAAAATCACTTTATTTTACATTGACTTACATAGAAAATTGACTGCGCTGTTATTAGACATGCCAACTCCAGTCAATTTCGCGATTGGCCTCCTTTTCTCTAGTCTTCATAGTACTAACTCCATTATGTAAATTTTTACAGGATCATAGAAATCTCTGGAGGTAGTGTAATGAAATATCCTAAATTTTGGTGCAAATAGGATTGACAGAAGTTTAGTAATAAACTAGTAAGGTAACAAAACTACATACTTCAAATATTCTCGCTAATACAGATATAGGCATTACATAATTTATGATTCCTGTAAAAATTTACATAATGGAGTCGAAAAACCTAATTGTACCGACTTTTGTATTTATATGTGAAAAAATAACTGTAATATAACAAGATTACTGAAATATTAATATAAATTTAACACCATGTATCTTAGTATTAATATGTTACCTTCAATAATTAAGTACTACATTAACATTTTCCACTATAAAATCTTACACATTTCTTTTGAATCACCCTGTATAAATTGAATTAGTTTATCTGTTATTTTTCAGCAGTTTACCTTGAATGTTTTCTTAGTGCATCACCCTCTATGCACAAATAGTTCACGGTGTCAAGACAAGTAGATAATATTGAATATTCTTGGTGAATCACTCTGTCCAAATAGTTCATCGTGTCAAGCCCACTTCGTGCTTGTAATTATGTATATATTTGTAAACATATTGTTTGTACGTTTTAACGTGAAATTATCTACAACAATGCAATAATTCTAATAAACAATCTTCTTAAGCAATATATATCTCTAGAGAACATGATTCCTACATATGCTGCTATGATGACATACACTGAAGAATGTCGACCCAATAGATAAATTGTAATTATGTTCGTGTCGCTGATCATAGTTATTAAAAAAAATACAGATAAATAAATTGTTAAGTAAACAAGGTGTGAAATTGAAAAAAATGCAGGCGAATATTTTGGAATAGATGATGCATTAAACGTGGTTACAATTCCGCACTAATAAACATTGAGGTTGTAAATTATTTTTGCTGTTTTACGATTGTTTTCTTTATGTAATACAAGCAGATGTATAATTCAAAAATAAAAAACAATAATAGAACTGCTGTAAAGTTTTTAAAGGCGCTTGATTACAAATTATTAGCTATTGAGTCTTAATCTTATACTATAGATAGAGATACGTAATTTTCTTTTTTACGGAATAGAAGCGATATATGCGAAATTCACGTAATTTATGCGATAAATACGAAACATAATATTTTGTGTATTTAATATTTTTTCGACTAAATTTCGAAGAAAAACATTTTTAAAGACAATAAACACGTGAATTTTCCAATATTAAGAGCTTCACGCACGTTGTGAACGCACACCGCCTGCGTTTATATGACCCAAGGCATCTTTTTTGCACTCAAGAAAAATGAAAAGTGCTTATTTGAACTACTTGCAAGAACACGCTCCGTGACTGACTCCGAAACTTTACCCCACGCCAGTTGTAACTAGCTGGAATTCTTGGTTCAAATCTGCAATCTATTTGAGCAAATATGTGGAGCATATTATTGCTTTTTATGAATGACTATGAAGACGATAACATGAGTACTAGTTACCTGACGGAATGTTTTGAAAATAAAACTCTGGCTCGCAAAATACAAGTTCAGTTGACATTCGTATCCGAGTTCTGTCCAAAAATAATGAAAATAATTGACAATTTGGAAAAATCAAAATATCTATTCGCGAACATTTTAAAGTCTTCTCTTGAGCGACAACGTGAAGGTTCGTTTGGAGAAAAAACTAAAAGCATTTTGTTAAACGAAAATGGTGAATTCCATCAAGAGCACAGTATTAAACTGAAGACAGCAGCACAGAAGGGCTTGGATAAATTGTCTTCACATATGGGGTCTAATCCAACAAACGATTTCTACCTGCACATTGGCAAATTATTTTGACCATTAGTAGCAGCAGCCGTGACCACATCGTCTCTGGACACTAACTCAACACTAGAGAGCTTCTCCAGGATACCATTTTTCAGGGATATACCACAGGATGAACTCTTAAGTGGATATGCTCATTTCCATAGACAATGTGGTTCAGCAAGAAACTCCTGTTAACGTCATGCATATTTTACTTGCATCAAAATGTTGCTACCTGAGGTTCGCGAATGCAGCTATACAAAGTCTTCATAGCCCAGTCGACAGTATAGATGCTGAAAGATATTTCAGTATCTACAATGTCGTCATAAATGACCGAAGGCAAAGGCTTAAGCACAAATATATAGAGACAACCACGATGTTATCTTTTAACTAACTTTTCTGTAATAAATATTTTGTTATTTTAATGATTATGGTTTTGAATTTTTTTTTTTATTTTTTTATGCAATTAAATGCGAAATTTTGGATTTTTTTATTTATATTTATGCGAAATTTCGGTTTTTTTAGTTGCGAAATATACGTAACCCTAACTATAGACGTTCTTAAAATAGTATTTTTAGCTTATTGATCATCTCCATATTCCTTTTTCTTCCTTTCCTCCATATATTTTCCTTAATTCTCTCCTTTCCCTCATTTTTATATTTTTGCCTTTCTTAGAAGTTAATTTTTCATCATTGTATTTTACTGTGGAACTGGAGACTTTAATAAACTTTTTCTAATTTTCACATATAAAGTGAAATTTTTTGTAATCCCAGCAAGTGTCAAATAGAAATAACAACTTGAAAATCTCGATGATCCAAGGACAGCTCGAACATACATCGAGTTTTAACTGAGCGCTGTCCTTGGGTCTTCGAGATTGCTAAGCTGTTATTATCGTTACCATTGAAGTGGACAGTAGTATCAACAGATTCTATATTTTGTGGCAAATTTATTTTCAGTTGTAATTTATAAGAAGTTGTTAGTTCCAAATTAAAAATTCCTATGTGCAAATAAATACCTACAAGTCCATAAAATATACAAGGTTGGGCAAAATTGGCGGAACACCCGATTTGTGGCTCAATTATGGATTGGATTGAAAATTGACCAGAATAAAAAATTTTGTATCGTTTTGTACTATTTAATGACGCTTGGGGATTTTCATCATCTGAAAGTAAAAATTTATTTTATAAAAAATAATTTACATCAATCGAAGTACACAAATCTTTTAACGAAAGTGTTCGAAGTGAAATCCTCCGACTGTCTGATACTATCCTAGTCTGTGAACAAATGATCTTAAGGTATGTTGGTAAACTTCAGGTGCTGTTTCTTGAACAGCAATTCTTATTTTGCCTTCCAATTCTTCCAGCGAATGTGGCTACTACTGATTTCAAGTGGCAAAAAAATAAGTGGGGATAAATCGGGTGACCACTTAATAAATCCTCTTCGATCCATCTATCTGTATCTGTAACGTGTGGAGGGTGGGTTACCCCTACGGCATTTAGGCCTCATTAGGCCCATTTTGCATTCTCCTGAGATGATAGGCACCTCCTAGCTCGTGAGCCAGCCTACAGATTTAATGTAGTTGACAACGTCGCCAAGAGGTGCTTCTCTTATATCGGCCGGTGTTGCCCGATACTTGCCGAACACAAATCTTCTAATAAATGAGAGCGTCGAGCAACCGTAAAGGATATGCTCGGTGGTCTCATCTTCTTGTGCGCACCCTCTGCAGAGTGCGGATTCTGACAGCCCCATGATATGGAGATGCTTTCGTACTTGGCAATGACCAGTCAGAATGCCTGTGACTAGGCGCAGATTCTGTCTAGTCATAGTCAAGTATTTTTTTGCTGCAGTGTTGTCAGGATAACTTAAGAGCTCCCTGCCAACTCTGTAGTTTTTGTTTCATCCCATCTTTCCTTGAATTTCACAAGTTAATGTTCTTTGATTAGGTATATCACTACCGATTTTGTCAGGCCAATAGAAGGGCCAGGTCCAAAAAGTATTTGGTTGGCTGCTTTCTTGGCTAGTGAATCAGCAAGACGGTTACTTTTCGATGTGGCGTGACCTTTGACCCGTCTTAAGGTGACCTCATAGTTGATAAAAACTTTGGCCAAAGCTTCGTGACATTCTAGTACTAACCCTGAGTAAATTCGTTGTCTGTTTAAGGTGAGTAGTGCTTGTCTGCTACCTGTATAGATGAGCATGTTCCTTCCAGTGAGATTGTTTCTGGTTATTTCTAACGGGGATTTTCATAGTAGCAAAAGAGTATATGTGCTATTTAGACGTCCAGAACTATAAGTACATACTGGTGCATATTTCGGCCAATACGTTGACTGGGAATGGTGAGAAATTGAAAGATTCATTAATCGACAGTTGTCGCAAAATTTCAAATTTCACGCTCAATTTTGAAATTGCTTTAATATTTGAAGGAAAATAGATAAAATAGTAAAGTAATATATATTATTGAAGGAAATTTAATTCTCTACAACCCCTATGGTCGGCATTTATTTTTTGGGTGCACCGTTGAAAAGTTATCCGGTGAAAAAGAGCAAAACATGTGAGGTAAAATTTGTTTTTCCAAAATTGCGGACTTTTAAGAGCTGATATATCGAAAACTATACAAGATATTGAAAAACTTGATTGGGTAGAACTTGTAGCAAATTTAATAAGATTTCATTGGTATGTATGATATAAGCGAAAAACCGCAAAATAGGACCTTCAGACCCCTCTTCCCCCCCGGCTCAAAGGCTACAGGCGGGCACTTTTGATATGTTCACCTCCTAACTAGTTCAAACAAAGTTAAGAAGTCAAATGTGTTCCAAACATTTCCCTCTATACCTTTTTGTTGCCTGCATTATAGGACTAGTGTGTGCTGTGTCTGTCACTATTATTCAGTAGGCTATCAGAGGTAAATAACTATTAAGATAACATCGACATATTCTGTACTTCGATAAATAAAATTAGAACATTGTTCTGGTAATTGTAAATAATTTTTGATAGGTTTCCCTTTGCACTCATATTTTTGTTTCATAATTAAGTTTTTAATTTGCACTTAATTTGCTTATATACACATATTTTTATTTTCCCCTATTTGCACTGATTTGTATAGGTAGCTTTTTCTCTCTCTCTTTTTTTTTTAAGGTCCCAAACAATTTCAGTCAATTATATTCTATTTGTATTCATGTTATTGATCTAAATTATTATATTTTTTTATGTTTCTGTATCACCACTAAACGTAAGTGGCTATTGGCCGTTGGATGTTTTAATTAAATAAAAAAAAATAACGGTCACCGTTCAGAGTTATTCTCATGAAGAATGGTCCAATAACTTATTGGCAATAATTCGTCATACATTTAACTTTTGTGAATATTGGGTGTTACCTTCTTCCATCCAGTGAGGATTATGATCAGACCAATGCCGACAATTTTGTTTATTTACAAATCCACTGAGACAAAATGTTGATTTGTCGGAAAAAACAGTGGTGTTCATGAACATATTATTTCCATCCATCATTTTCTGACAGAATTGTATTCGCCTATCTGGGTCATCTTCATTCAATTCAACGCAAGCTTTGGAACTGAAGTTTTTGGTTCTTCCTGTACACTTAGGACCACATTAAGTGCATTATCTTCATCAGTGGCTGTCCTCTTCCGTCCAGATCTGGGATTGTTTTTCACACTTCTTGTTCTTGTTTCATTTCTGGATACTGTAGATTTATAAATTGGGGACATCGGTCAGGAAATGTTTCATTAAACAAATCACAAGCTTCTTGAAGAGATCTATTTCTTTCTCCAAACCCAATGATTAGTAGTGTAATACTTTCACGTTCACTCAGTTCAACCATCGTTTAAATTAATAAAAATTCTCAGTAGTATTAAATGTTAAGAGTTATTTATTGTCGCGTATTGGGCTAGTTTGGGTGAAATGAATAGACTTGCAATTAAACTCAACAAGGTACAAGAGTCGTATTAATAAAACTGAGTGATTAATATCGAGATGTCAATATGGCATTTATAATGTCGAAAAGTAAAACCATGGCAAAACAATTCAAGTTGGTACATTATGATAACACAGATAACTGTGGAATAGTTATTCATTAATCATTAATTATTCAAAACAACGTTTATCTTTCTGTTTTATTATTTTCTTATGATAAGGTAAGTAAAATACCACCCGAACCACATAATAATGGTTTCAGAAAGACGTCATATCTTGATAAATATGACGGAGGACGAAAATCACTGAGCGACATTAAATAATGTATAAAATATATGAAAAAATTTATTTGAGTCAATTTTCAGTACAACACATAATAATTGAGCCACAAATCGGGTGTTCCGCCAATTTTGCCCAACCCTGTATAATGTTTGCGTCTATTTACATTTCTCTTTTACTGCATTTGTACACACGTACAAAAAAACCTGTCAACAATACAGGAAGACTGGCTTTTTGAAATAAAAGCTTCGCTGGACGACAAAACAAATATACGTTCTCAACCTCACTTTGACTACGTTTACGGACAAAGCTTTTTTATTATTATTTTCTCCGTTCTCCATTCGTTTCTTTCAATTTTTCCACGTTTTAATTAGAAGAGATATTTCAAAGAAAGGGATTCGGTTCTGTCAGATTTGAGTTTCGTAAATGTAGTTCAGCGCTCGTTTACAAGAGGTTTTTTGTTGTTGTATTGACTTGTTTACGTATACAGTCAGTTTTAGTTATGTCACCCTATTATGGACGAAACCACATCACAAACATATTTTTATGGAAAGTAAAGCGTAGACAGAAGTTGAACATTTATTTAATTTATTTGCACTTCATTATACATCATTTACTTATTTACTAATTTATGTAAAGCCAATATTTATGTGTACTGATCGATCTCTCAACTTAAACTAACTTATAACGACAAAATTAGGCTATTTATATAAATCAGACTTGCACTCGAACATTCTAGACGCCTCTACCATTTCCTACACTGGACCAAATTAAGTGCATTCGCCAAAAATTTAAATTCCGAAAGCCTTCGTGGCGGTATCTATAGG